TCCTATATAATCCATTTGATCTTAACCAAAAGGCTGAGGAGTAATAGGTATTTCATTATTGTATTTTCTGCTATTTTATCCTGGAATTATAGCCTGTATTTTGTTTTTGTTTTTGTTTTATTGTTTTATTATTGTATTTTCTGCTATCTATTTTACCCTGGAATTAGATCCCATATATTTTATTTTTTGATATGGTTGTATGACTAGCCAATTAATAAACTTTATATTCATCTACATAATCCTAACACAGCCTATAAATGTTACAAATACACTTATACATGACTGATCTCTATGAATTTCAAGGACATTTCCTCATGTCCAAAACCAAAGCTTCAGCTTGTGAAGCTTCAAAAAAAGCCTATTAATCTGACTTCCCAACTTGGCATAGAAAGATTCTAGGGTAAAGATTTCTGATCAAAACAAAAAGTACAGCTTTTTGCTATTGTTACTTTTTTGTAGATGGTGTGACTGTGTGTTTGCATACAATCATCTTATTCAGAAATAATTTTCACTATGGATAAAACTAACTGGGAACTTTAAATCTTTGTAGTCCAGACTGAAGTTCTTATCTGATTTCTCCAAGGTAAACCAGGAATCATAAAAAACAAATAATGGTTTGCAATTATAATTTAGAAAAGGAACAAGGCTCCACAGCTCAGGATATCATGGCGATTTTGTTCAATACAGTGAACATATTCATATATATAAATAGCATGCCCAGGGTCACACTGAGTGAGAAAAACATATGATCAATATAAGTGCAATTGGCACCACTTTTCCCCCATATATTTAATAATTTCCCCCTTTTGCCATGTTAAAATTTAATGGCAGTTGTTGAAACTCAGGAGATCACAATCAAGGCAACATGAAACCCAGGCCCTAGAAACCCAGGGAAGGAAATTGAGCACTCGTAGAAGGAACAAAGGGATGTATTTCAGCATACAGCTCAGGCGCAACATGAGAATACACTACTGTTCTAAATTAAGCCTTTGCTTTCTTGAATATTTTTTTTCTTATTTCCTGATTCCATTTATCCTACAGTTTACTTAACAAAGATGAAAAGCGCTATTGGTTTCCCAGATCATGAATCTAAGTAGGCACTTGACAACACCCGTATGCATTTACAAAACAAAACGTATTAGTGATTCTGCTCATCATCTGTGTCCCCCATTCCTGTAGATGATAAATTGACATTTCTTCTGACTTTGCACATCCTAACAACAGTATACCAGGGTGACAAATGTTTAAAAAATCCAGACTTTCATTATCTGCTGAATTAATACGGTATATTTAAAGTGGAGGTTCCCCAGCTATCCATACACTTAACACAATAGATACGGTATATAGAAGTTAACTTTTTTCCCTTTGCATTTGTACTGGGCTGACTGAGCCAATTTTGAGGTTTTATACTTGACACACAAGGCCCTAACCTACTGGAACTCAGCCTTTCTTATCTTAACTCCCACCATTCAGTACACCAAAGTACATGAATCTCCTTTTGGGACACTTAACAAAATTCTGACTGCTTCTGGAACATCAGTACAAAATACTCCGGAACTCTTTATGTTAAACATCATTTCTGGGATCTAACAGAAATAGAGCTTAGCAAATGGCCAATTGATATAGTATTTCATTGCATGTGTACAACTTCATGCTGTAGGATCTTATGGAACACTGTAACAGAAATATGCTCAGAATTAGCTGGATTAATGCCAGGACTTAAAATGGTTTTCCTCTAGGTCGGGGTGGGCAACTCTGCCCCCTTTATGACCCGTGTACTTTAACTCCCAGCTGTCTCAGGAATTCTGGGAGTTGAAGTCCACAGCTCATAAAGGGGGCAAAGTTGCGCACCACAATTGTAAGAGTTAAGTCCCATTTACATCTCAGTTTCAAAAGCTCTAGTAACTGGCGCTCCCTAACAAGCAATGTTGACAGAACTAAGGACAGACAAGATGAATAAAGTCATGTGTAAAATCAGTTTTGTTCTTTATTTCTCAAAGGGAACAGCAGTAAAATTTTACCTCCTGTTATTAGAGAAGAGTTATAGGCAATGAACCAACTACAGGTAACCCTCTATTCTGGAGCTCCACTTCATTAAACTTGTTTAACAAGTTTCCTGGCTCCCTAGTGAATGCTTTGCTGACTGCCTCAAGGCTCAAGGTTTAAAGAGAGTTTGGATTTCTGGGCCTCAGTTTGCCTTAAAGTGGTGCCTTTTAGAAGCAATGGATTGCAACTTCCAGAATTCCCATGGGAATTAGCCTTGTTGCATGAGTATCAGGGTAGCTCAGGGGTAGGCAACCTTGGCTCTTTTATGACTCGTGGACTTCAACTCCCAGAATTCCTGAGCCAGCATGGCTGGCTCAGGAATTCTGGGAGTTGGAAGTCCACGAGTCATATAAGTGCCAAGGTTGCCTACCCCTGGGGTAGCTCATGTTTAACCCGTCTGATGACTATCATATTGGAGAAAGTGATCTATCCCAACCAGCAAATTCTATGTATTAGTTACACATTCTAGGCTTCTATTCACTATTCCCAATCTCTTTCTCTGTTTTTTTTTTCTTTTATTTATTTAATTTATATCCTGCCTTTATTATTTTTACAAATAAGTCAAGGTGGTGAATATACACAACACACCTTCCTTTTCCCATAACCACCACCCTGGGAAGTGGGTTGGACTGAGAGTGAGTGACTGGCCCAAAGCCACCCAGCTGGCTTTCCTGGCTAAGACGGGACTTAAATTCATGGCCTCCAGCTTTCTAGCCTGGTGCCTTAACCACTAGACCAAAAAAAAACAAGTCTTCATTGCACAATTGGAGTTTTATGTTATGGGAAAGTAAGAAGTTCTCTTTTTCTATTTTTTTTCCACACATGCCGTTATAAATCTCCATCTTGTATTCTTACTTTCCACCAAATTAAAAAACTTTTCTATTTCAGTTTATATTTTCTTCAGAAAAAATATACCTCAGCTATTCTTTTTTGGGAAGAGGAGGGAAGAGATAGAAGTAATTGCAACTGAGGCACATATTATTCATAGTTGTGCTAGTTGTGAATATGAAACATTCAGACACTTCATTCGCCTCAGCTGCACTCAGTTGCTATTTAATTGCTTCCCACTATTTAAATGCTATTTGGAGAATGTGTAAATCATACGTTTGTGTCAAGCCATAGTTACAGTTTCACAGGTTTCTATGCGGAACACATGCAAGTCTTCTAAAAATTCATTTAAAAATCTAAAGGACTCAGTGTGTCTGGTTATCCAATACAGCAGATGGATAAATTCTATCAATTAACCTGGGTCATTAGCTGAGCAGAATCAAAAACTAAATTGAAAGCAAATAGATCGAAGGTGCAAATGACTACAAGACTGTGATTGAAAGACATGGATGCCTTTGAAGATTATTCATTGTTTGGATGTGTTACCTAGTTAATTTTAAACCTTATTTTATCTCTAAGTGGGATTTGTTTTGTTTTTTTACTCTTTTGTTCCACTTCACTAATGCCCCAAGTCCCCAATTTTACTACCCGCTAATTCTCCTTTTCTTTCCTACACAGTGCAGCTACACCTGATTCCTTTTCTTTCTTTTTTGCTCCTTTTGGAAAAAGGAGGAAACACATTTGTGCCTCTGCATGTCTAAATTCTACATTATTGTGAACAAGAATAGTCTTTGTGTACGGGACAGAATGGTTGAGATATGCAGGGAGAACCAATTAAGTTCATACCGCAGTCGTGTCGGAAGCACCACTGTCTGGGGGACACCCAGTTGGGGGCACCTTTTATGTGCCCAGCAGGAGCTGGAGCAAAGGGTCAGAGCTCACCCCAACTTATAATGGATATTCATTTTAATCGATTGTGATTCATTTAATTTATATCTATTAATTTATTTTGGAACTGGGCCAGCCTTTTTGGGGAGCAGTGTGCCTTCCAGCACATATATACACCCACTATGCATTATACAAATGCACCACATGAACACACATAACATCCATCCCATTGCAATTCTATGTTATGGTAATTTTATTATGGTTTTATCTTAATTTAGCAATAGCAATAGCACTTTGGCTTATATAGAGCTTTACAGCCCTCTCTAATTGATTTACAGAGTCAGCATATTGTTCCCATCAATCTGGGTCCTCATTTTACCGACCTCGGAAGGATGGAAGTCTAAGTCAACCTTGAGCCGGTCAGGATTGAACTCCTGGCAATCAGCAATGAGTTNGCTTCTCATAAAAGAGAAAATACAACACTGTTTTAAAAAATAAAAATAAAACTGGCTGAGTTAATACTTACTTTAGAGACAAACACTTGACAAGAAGCCTTTGACCAAAGTGCTCTTTGGGGATTTCTGGAATGCCAAGCCTTTCTATGGGTTCCTCCTAGAATTGGTCACAAATCTAGTAAGCAATGCATGCACCACTCCCATAAACACAGCATAGCATCAAGTGACTAAAAAAGTGCAAGACAGATCCCCATCCACCCCTTCCTAAAGCACAAATATAATTTAATTTCAAAACTGATCAACTGGCAGCAACTATAAATAATAGTACATAGAGGAGCTTAGGATAGAAACTTCCGAACAGATAGGAGGACTGTAAATGTAGATCTGCCTGTCTATGGAGAGTCTCAGTCATCCAGGTCATGGTTGTCCCAAATGTGCTTTTTCAAAAGGCAACTGGGCTTTGTTTTTCCTTGAAGACATTTCGCTTCTCATCCAAGAAGCTTCTTTAGTTCTCTGTAGATCTGCCTATGCAAGGCAATCTGGATTAATCTGGATGAAAACCTTCACGCTGCGAAAATACCACCCTTTGCCATCTTAAGCCAAACAGGAATGCCATTTTTTTTTCCAAAGAGAAGTTTTGGATCTCTTTGCATCCAGTTCTGATGCACACAGAAGGTGGCAGAGAATTTGGCATGAGTGGAGCACCACTAGAAAATCCTGCTCTGGGTACTTTTCATGCCAGATGAAATTGCAGAGGAGGAAAGTGAAGCAGTAAGATCAAAGCAACATGGCTGCTTCACTTCTCTCCGCCAAACAAAGGGGTTGCTTTGCTTTGCTTCAATAGGAACATGGTCAACCTAAATACCTTTAAAAAAAAAAAAAGCCTTGGGAAGCAATATCTAAAGGATAATATTTTCATTCGTGTTTCTTCAAGCAAAGTTCGTAATAATCCCAGAAAACAAACCAAGGTAGTACGTGGCTAAATAGTTGTTCTTTTATACTTGGCAAAGCTTGCTGGTTATTGGCCAAGAACTACCACACCAAAACCTGCATTGTGATGGAATGTGGTGGAACAAGCAAACATTAGCATTTGTTTTAGAGCACATGTCAGAGCTTCAAGGCTATGGAAGAGAGGAAAGGAACATGAAGGCAATTCACACTTATAGGACGATGTGTGTCAACTCAGAAATAACTCCTGCTGACTTATTTATAAAGAATTTATTCTCAGACGGGAAAGGTCATATAAATGTCCTTATGTGAGATCTTTCCCTTGGCTGGATTTTTAATTTTTTTTTAATTTTGCTTATTTATGAAATTCACAGCCATACCTGTACCTAGTAAAAAGCACAAGCTTACTATCTTTCTATAAAAATGCCGAACGCGTAAACAAGAATTCTGTCTATGTGTCCATAGCATGAACTAGTATGAATTAACTCAATTTATTTATTTGTTCTTTGTTTATTAAATTTATTGGCTGTC